CCCCCTAGCCCAGCTTCGCCCTCCCCTGCACCCGCCCTAGCCCAACGGCGCCCTCCCCTGCCCCCCCCCATCCAACGCCGCCCTCCCCTGCGTCCCGCCAGCCCAACGCGGCCCTCCCCTGCGCCCCCCCTGCCCAACGCCGCCCTCCCCTTCGCCCCCCTCGCCCAACGCCGCCCTCCCCTGCGGCCCCCTAGCCCAGCTTCGCCCTCCCCTGCACCCGCCCTAGCCCAACGCCGCCCTCCCCTGCCCCCCCCCATCCAACGCCGCCCTCCCCTGCGTCCCGCCAGCCCAACGCGGCCCTCCCCTGCGCCCCCCCTGCCCAACGCCGCCCTCCCCTTCGCCCCCCTCGCCCAACGCCGCCCTCCCCTGCGGCCCCCTAGCCCAGCTTCGCCCTCCCCTGCACCCGCCCTAGCCCAACGCCGCCCTCCCCTGCCCCCCCCATCCAACGCCGCCCTCCCCTGCGTCCCGCCAGCCCAACGCGGCCCTCCCCTGCGGGGTGGCGCCGCGCTGGGCGGCGCAGGGGAGGGCGGCGCTGCGCTGGGCGGCGCAGGAGAGGGTGGCGCTGCGCTGGGCGGCGCAGGGGAGGGCGGCGCTGCGCTGGGCGGCGCAGGAGAGGGTGGCGCTGCGCTGGGCGGCGCAGGGGAGGGCGGCGCTGCGCTGGGCGGCGCAGGAGAGGGTGGCGCTGCGCTGGGCAGGGCGGTTCAGGGTAGTGCAGGCGCGGGGTGGGGCGGGAATCGGAACGGCAAAGGTGCCACCCAAAACGGCAGAGGTGCCACCCACCTTCTTGTGGGTCTGGGTTCAATTCCCAGGTGTCCCCAAATGTTATGACCCATGTTACATACACAACATACACACATGTCCGTGAACACATGAGCACACAGGCACAGGCGCGAAGACTGACTGGCACGAGCATAACATGCCGCTCGAAGATATGCAATATATTGTAACGGCTGCGCATGGAATTGTTTTCATGGCCATGATAATTGTTTTGAGGGGTTCAAATCCTCAAATGTGTCAAATTCCAGGCCCGAGGAAATCTTTGCATGACCATTATATTGTTTGTTGTTTTGGGGGTCAAATCCTCAAATCCCGTTGGGATTTGACCCGGATTTGCTTGGGAATTCATGGGGTCAAATTCCGGAATTCCGGCCCCGTGAGGGGCCTCCTGGCTGTAACTCGGGCCTGATAGCAGTTGATTACAAGGGTTATGACATTGCCTAAGCTCCAAACGATGGAGTTTCGATGACCTGTTGAAGGATTGTCCAAGTAGCTTGCATAGCAAAACGCCGATGATGGCTTTCACTGATTTCAGCTGCGTCTTCTACGAAAAGGGCGACGCACTTGGCAAGGTCCTGGCCTATGCAGCCCTTCTACCTTATGTGCTCATTTTGCACCATGCTTCGCAGTTCTACGGTCGCAGGTGAGGCTCTTGGAATACGCGTTGGCGCAATGTTGCAATAATTTTCTTTGTGTTATCCGTAGATTGGTTCAAGAAGGTGTCATCGTCGCGGGCTTCGTGATGAATGAGGGCATTGCAAGAGGTCTTAAGCATGGTCTAAGGCATCCACGGCCCGCAGATACTTGTGCTAAGCTCGACCTGTGTGACTCGTTTGGGATGCCCAGCTCCCACACGCAATGCATCGCTTTCGCATTCATGTTACACTTTCTGCTATGCATGCGAAGCGTGGGGGGGAAGAGCCTTGGCACGCGACTGATTGAGGCCTGCGAAGTGGTCGGCCTGGCTTTCGCTTGTTTGCTTACGGCTTCCTCTAGAGTTTACCTGGGGTATCACACAACTGATCAGGTCGTGGTTGGCGGGTTGCTGGGGCTTGTTATCGGGGCGACGTGCTTCGCTGTGCTGGGTTGGCGAGGGTGGGATGCAATCTCTCGCACTCGTTTGGGAACTCTGTTGCACCTTAAGACAAACTGGGATTTGCCTGATCCGTTGCGTCAGGAGGCAGTATGGTATCGTAATCTCTCGAAAAAAGCACGATAAGGCAAAGCAGCTGTGGCTGAGAATGGACAACGTGGGTTACTGCTTGTGACCCTGCTTGCGACAGATGGTGGCACAAGCCACAAACGAGCATGGTTCCGGTGACGTTCTCGTCATGGGCCATTACCCGTGGATCCGTCGTGACATCTGCTGCGTTTTGGCATGCATCGGAAGCGGAACGCGTATGGTGTCTGACCTCCTCTCCTTTCACAGATGCAAGGTCAACAAACTCGTATAGCTTTAAGAGCCCAATTGCTGCTGGCAGGGGTCATTTGACACGCCTGGGCAAATGTTCAGCACTGTCGTCATCGGACCCCGGTGACCGTTCCCTTGTGACGTTGGGCAACCGCCGTGATGCAATAATTATAGCCGGAATGTCCTGTTCATAACGTGTTAACAGCCGGAATGAAGTCAATGTCTATTGCGGCTGTACATGCTAATAGGATAGGGTAACGTTTAGCAAGCTGAGGTCCTGGGTCCACAGATCATCGACGTACTGCTGTGGAAGCGTCACAGAGTGTTCTCGGCTGGCCATTTTGCATTCCCGCTACTAAGCACCGAGCGTGTTTTGGTCCTCGTTGCGTGCTTTGCACGGCTGATGTATGTTAAGATTTGCGTGATTGGTCACGCTGTTCCACCAGGTTTCCTTCGTACGGTACCTAAGTCCTTGTTCCACTAGCTCTGCCCAACGGGAAAATGCACTAACTGCTTACATAATTGCATATACATAGGTTTGATTACTAGGGGCTGCTTTGCTTAAATGCCTCGGAAGCGAAGGCCCGCGTGACCGGTTGACAGTATGAGGAATGCAACAAGCACCCAATTTAGATTCTTCCTCAAAGTAAAAACGCAGCTGCTAATGAACTACAATAACAGTCAACTCATTTTCCGATGCCTGCGGACCTTCGGGCGCGCACGTTTTCCATTATCTTCTTACTATCATTGATATAAGCCTGCGAAACGTAAATTAAGGCACGTGTTTGTAACGGAGGCCAGGAGCTGGAGGCGGGCTGTTCCACGCGTCAACTGTCAACCCCTGTCAAAAAGCAGCCGGCGCTTCTATCAATAGTTCTCCTGTGAAGGCAATACAAGCAGCTATGTCGGAAGGAGTGCTTGGGCCCGCCCTCCAGAACTATCAACCTCTAAACCGTATGCAGGAGAAGGCAAGCAGAAAGGAAGCACTTGGCGCAATCTGTCACAGGGTTGATGCATAGCGAGGCTACGCCCATCAGACCCGACATAATCCACCCCTCGCCCCCTGGCGTTGTTCCCCCGTGCTCCTCTGCCCTGAAAGAGTTACGACCAGCTTGCCAATAAAAGGCAGTGGATGCCCCTGCTCCACAAACACACAGCTTTACAACAAAATTTTCTCGCTCTGTCCACATTCCCCTATTTGGTGATTTTTAGTTTGATGTTGTTCAAAACACATTATTGTCAATACCATCCGCCCACCCACCCAAACCCACACAGGCCTCCCAGCTGCGGGCGGATTTGGAGGCTGTCTCTAAGGGCGACCGCCACTTGCAATTTAAACGCAGCTCCTCCAAGAGCCTGCTCAGTGTGGCGGCGGGGGGCCAGGGAACCCCATTTGCAGCGCCAAGTGCGTGGCGGATGAGGGAAGGGGAGGAGAACGAGGACGGGGGGAAGAGGAGCGGGGAACGGCTTCTGCGTCACGCCCATCGGGCAACTGGATTTCATAAGTCCCTTATAGCTTCAGTTGCTGGCCATAGTGGGCGCATGACCCGGGGTGCGGGGAAGTGTGGGGATGCGTGCGGCACGACCTCACTCCTGCTGTTCCCGCTGAGCCCGAGGAACGTTGAATTGAGCCACCCGCAAGGCCGAAATTGAAATGCGCTCAGGCGTTGCCCCGAAGGCAGCCGTCAGGCAGACGGGGAGAGGGCTCACGGGAGGAGGGGGGTGCCTGGCACAAACACAAACGCAATTGTGCAAAGGAAGCGGCGCAGCGGCTGTGGCCTAGGCCGGATGCAGGCATTGTAGTTGTATGAGGCAAAGGGGGCCCGGGCACGACGTCGATACAGGTGCGGGTTGCCGGGCTCGATTACGAATCACCACCTTGGGTGCGCACCCCAGGAGTCCGGTGGAGGATTGGTTGGGTTTCGGAGGTGTCCAGGCCCTCCATCCCAGGCCCTACATGTGACTCCTCACCCCCCTTGCCACCTGACCCTGGCACATTCCCCTCTGGCTCTCCTCTCCCCAGGCGGTCCCAGCGGGGCTACCTCCGCCACTGCCTCTGCCGCCTCCAGCCCCCCTCGCCGCTTCCTGCGCTCCATGACCTCCGCCATCCACTCCTCCCACTCCGTGTCCACCGTGCTGCCACACGGCTCCGTGTGTTTTGACCGGCCACCCTCCGCGTCCGTGAACGCAGCTGCCGCAGCCGCATTCCCGTCCCGTCTGCCCTCCCGCCGTGCGTCCAACGCCAGTGGTGGTGCCACGGATGCGTCCGGGGAGGAGGTGCGGCTCACTAATAGCGGAGGATCCAAGAGGTATGCCGGGGAGAGGTGGGGAAAGGGGGCTGGGTGGAGGCTGGAGGTTGGAGAAAGCTAGCATATGGGAAGGGGAGAGAGGATCCTTAGGGGCCTGCTTAGCGGGGATGGGCAGGGGAAGGCGGATTAGTTGGAAGTTGGGCGAGAAGGAAGCGGGTAGGACGTGGGGGACTGGTATACTTGAGAACGGAGGCAGGAGCGGTGATGAAACCCCGACAGCGCGGAGCGCACCGGGGCCCTCGTCCGCAACCGCGTGGGCGGCACTGGGAACAAACTCCTTTCCCCTCTCCAGGCTGCACCCGTTACCCACTACCCCTGAGCCGCACCTGAACTATCGCTACAGCTCCGTCACAGCGTGTCCATATGAATTCACCTCCTGGCCACTTGGGCCCTGCTTGTTAACCTCCTACCCTCACTCTCCCTGGGCCCCCCTCCACCACCTCCTCCTGCTTCCCGCTCTGCTCCACCCTCTTGCCAACGCCCCCGCAGTCCCCCCTCCCGCCGCCCCTCCCGGCCATCCCGCGTGTCCGTGTTTCGTGACATGCCCGACTATGCGGCCGCCATTTCCCGGCAAAACCAGCTCGAGGATACGGTGGCGGAGCTGGAGGTGGGAAGAGGGGACTCGAGGGCTTAGGGCTTAGGGGAATTAAAACCTGGCGCGGGGAAGGGCTTAGGGAAAAGACCGCTTCTGGGTTACACCCCTTCTCAAGATTAGGGTTGAGGGGTCTGGGACAGGGGGTTGAAGCACCAAGGAATCCGGAGCCGCGGACGGACAGCACCACAGGGCG